GGTGGGGTGGGGGGTGGCAGGGCACTGAGCAGGCCTTTCTGGGGGGGCACTGACCACCTGGGTGCCTGCTCTAGATCCTGGACTTTGGACTGGCACGCCAGGCAGACGAGGAGATGACAGGCTACGTGGCCACGCGCTGGTACCGGGCCCCTGAGATCATGCTCAACTGGATGCACTACAACCAGACAGGTGATGTCAGCCCCTGCGGGGCCAGAGTGGCCAGGCAGAGTTCACGCCAGGGCCAGTGGAGAGCAAAGCCAAGGACCTGGGGAGTTCCAGTCTTGGGGGACCCAAGGCCTGGGGCCAGCGTTGGGAAATAGACCTTCAGAAGGGTGGAGCATGATGGGTCTTGGGCTCACCCCTCCTCCTGCCCAGGGTTGTGTCTAGAGGAGGAGGGGACCTGGGTACAGCTGGGGACACTGGGCTGGCACAGTGCAGGCAGCCCCCCAGTTCTCTGAGGAGGGACTTGGGGTGGACAGACTGACGGAGACTCCTCCCCCAGCAGTGGACATCTGGTCCGTGGGCTGCATCATGGCTGAGCTGCTCCAAGGAAAGGCCCTCTTCCCGGGCAGTGACTGTATCCTTGGCCCAGATTGGGGAGGAGGGTTGAGCCAGGGCCCCTTCCTTCTGATGGGGGTCGAGGGGTGGTATTCGCCCTTTCTGACCAGTCTTGCCTCCTCTACCCCCCATGCCGTGCCACCTGGGCTTACTGTCCCCAGCTGTCGGAGAGCAGGTTCTGGGCAGCGCCCCAAGATCTGGGGTCCGGGGGACTGAGAAGGGTTCATGCCTGGCCAGTGGGCATTTCCTGAGCCAGGCAGACATCGACCAGCTGAAGCGCATCATGGAGGTGGTGGGCACACCCAGCCCTGAGGTTCTGGAAAAGATATCCTCGGAACACGTGAGTCACCGGCCACCAGCTTCCTCGGCTGACCAGGCTCCCTGGCCCTCTGGAGGAAGGGCAGTGTGGGACTGGACGAGGCGTAGCCCTTGTGGGGAGCACAGACCACAGTGGAAAAGAGCCCAAGGCAGGTGCCTGGCCCCTTCAGTGGGAAGCAGGCGAACAGGGGAAGACATTCCTGTCATGAGGGACAGTGAGGGTAAAATCACAGCACCTGCAACAGTGCCCTGGCCAAGGACAGAAGGGCAGCACCAGGTCCAGGTCTGGTCTGCGCATCCCCTTGCCCAGGCCTGTTGGAGTGAATGAGTGTGGGGGCTTCTCTTGGTAAGCCCCTGCGTGGCTTAGGGCCAGGGGAGGTAGGGGGTGAGCAGCCCCCTCAGGCCCTCCCCTTGTGCCCCCAGGCTCGGACATACATCCAGTCCCTGCCCCCCATGCCCCAGAAGGATCTCAGGAGCATCTTCCGTGGAGCCAACCCCCTGGGTGAGGAGGGGCCCTGGGTCTCTGCTGGGCTCCATGCCTGGCCCTGGATGCAGAGCTGACCTCCACTCCCCCCTTCTTTCCTGGCCACTCTGCAGCTGTGGACCTCCTGGGAAGGATGTTGGTGCTGGACAGTGACCAGAGGGTCAGTGCAGCTGAAGCCCTGGCTCATGCCTACTTCAGCCAGTACCACGACCCCGACGATGAGCCCGAGGCCGAGCCTTATGACGAAAGCGTTGAGGCAAAGGAACGCACTCTGGAGGAGTGGAAGGGTGGGCCTGGGGAGGCCGGAAGGAAATGGTGGGAGGTGGAGCCCAGGGGCCTGAGGGCTGCCTTCCCATGGAGGCCGGGCACTGCCTGTTTGTTGTAGGAAGTGCCTCGGCTCATCCTCAGGGTGGTGTGGGAGGGGGACAACTTACACCACCACCTCCTGCCAACTCCAGGGTGGGCCAAGCAGAGATAGGGTTGGTATGTCCAGCAGAGCATGGGGGCAACCCAGGGCAGGCTCTGGAAGGACCAAGGGCTGTGGCTGCCCTCAGATGGTGGTGGGCCTGGGCTGGGTGGCCGGCGCCAGACAAGCATGCAGGGAGCACTGGGCTGGTGGCAGCACAAGCTCACCTTTCCCCTCACCCCCCAGAACTCACCTACCAGGAAGTCCTCAGCTTCAAGCCCCCAGAGCCACCGCAGCCTCCAGGCAGCCTGGACATTGAGCAGTGAGCCACGCTGGAACTCAAGGAGGGGCCTGAGCCCGCCTACCCCGGTTCCTCGGCCTGCCCAATTCCCACGAGGGTCGCCTCCCACCACTTGACCCCTCGCCTGGGACCCCTGGCATGCTGCCCCCTGTGGGAGTCTGAGCACACGTATGAATGCATGATTGTGTGCACCTGTGCAAGCCGTGGGTGTAGGAGTCTGGACAGAGTGTCCTGGACTTCCTTGGTCCTTCTACCACATCCCAACAACCAGGGTCTCCCTTGGGATCTCACTGTGGGGGACACGGATGCCTAGGAGGTCCCCTGGGGAGCGTGTCTGTCTCCAGATCTCAGTCCCAGTGGGCTGTCTCTTGGAGGTGGTGCACTGGGGCTAGGGCCCCCTGAAGATTCAAAGGGAGGGGTCTCAGTGGTCTAAGCTGCTCAGCCTGGAAGTAGGGGGCTACCCTGAGAAATGCTGAGACCCAAAGGCCTGAGAGATGGGCAGGGTCTTCCCTAGGGGATGCCAGAGCAGGGACAGCCACGGAGTGCCACATCAGACTCTTCCTAGAGCCATGTGTTCCTGTGTTGTGTGGCATGTGTGCCCAGATGTGTGTTCCTGGTATTTACATGTGAAAGCACGTGTGAATCTCTGGACACCCAAGGGCCAGTGGCTCTGACCAGCAAGAGGCCCAAGTTGGGGTGGCCATACTTGCCTCTCTTCCCCCAGTGTCTGATGTCATGGGGGCATAGCTGAGATCCTGCTGTGCAGCATGCAGGGGGCTCAGGTGGGCAAGGGACAACCATGTGAGCAAAAGCCAGGGCATTCTCCTTGGGTTTCCAAAGCATGAGGGCACAGTGCCAGCTGGGAGCTGGCGAGCATGGGAGTGGGGGGACACCAGGGGGGCTGGCACACATCGAGGAGGACTTGGACTTGGACCCTGGACCTGTGGCTGAGAGCCGGGGTGCTCTGGTCTGTGAGTCGGCCCTGGTTCTCCCTCCTTCCAGAACGGAGCTGGCCAGTAGCCTCTGGAACAGGCCCCTGCTCCACATGTGTTGGAGGTGTGAGTCTTCTCTGTCCCATGGTGGTGGCAGGTGTCAGCTGGTGACCTCCTACCTTGCAGGACCCAGGGAGGTTTAAGTGTCATGTGCCTGCACCAGGGTGTCTCAATAAAAGAGGTTTCCTCTTGCTCATCTCGAGTCCCAGGCCTCAGGTGCTGTCCCTCTGTCCCGCTGCTCTGTCTCCCTGCATCACACCCCCAGCTGGCCTGGCTGCACCAGACCACTGCACTGACCAGATCCCTTGGGTCCCCAGTCAGACAAGCAGCCGTCTTCAGCACCCTCCTTGCTCCACCCAGGCCAATGGGATCAGGAGGTCTGTGTGTGTGTGGGGGGAGGGGCATGATTGCCTCCCACAAATTAACCCTGCATCTGGTCCAGATCCAGACCTGCCCCTTCACTCAGTGGTCAAGGAGGCTGCTGGGGGATAGTTGAGGGGTCTCTGGGAGCAAAGGCCTGTCCTTGCCTGGGGCTGGGTGGGGTGGGAGAAATAGCTTTTCTTCCTGGATAAGGGAAAAGGGCTACTTCAGCTCTCTGGACACACTGAGCTACTGCAGCTCTGGTGGGGGGGGGAGCTGGTCCCCAACAGGGGTCAGGCAGGGTGTCTCCAGGACAGGGACATTCTGCGCCCTTGCCCCGGGCCTTGGGGGTGGAGACCATCTGGGAGTTGGACCTCCAGGGGTCTGGGCAGTGTGGCTACTGGGCTTCTAGTCCTAGGGAACCCCTGGAGACCAAGCTGCACCAGGTCCTCTGTGTGTGTGTGTGTGGGGGGGGGATGGTAGTGGAAATGGGGCATGCCCCACCTGGGGGTCTGGTTGGAATGGGAACCCTGCTGGACCCCTGGGCCCCGCTGCAGGGAGTAAGGGGGGCCAGGTAGGGGCTTCCTGGAGGAGACAGGTGGAGTGCCACAGGCAGCCCAGGACATGAAGGGCATGGGGTACAGGTGGTGCTGGCTCCAGCAACCCCCGGCCGCCCCACCGACTAGTCTCCAGCTCCTGAGAGCTCAGCATCACCAGCAGGCAGCCCAGGTGTAAAGCTGCTCTGGCTGGGCCCGAGCTGCTGATTCATGGTGGCAGGGCACAGCGCAGGCGGGGCAGGGGCCCTGGATCCTGTTACCCCACTCCCTCTCAGGCCTGGCCGCTGGGCAGGGGGAGCATGTGCGAGGGGCCCGGGGCTCTGCCCTTCAAAACCTGTCTGGTCCAGCATGGGGTCTGACTGGTGAAAGGATGATCCCCCCACTTAGAAGTAAGGGGGCACTGAAGCTGGAGTAGGGCAGGGCCCTCCGTCACCCCTGGGGTCAGGAACACCGCCCTGGAGAGGGCGGAGAGGCTCAGGCAGGGCTTCGAAAGGCAAACCGGAGGGAGTAAGCTGGCCGGGTGGACAGGCAGGACTTGCAGATGCTTGGAGCAGGCTCCCCAAGTGCGGGGAGAGGGAGCTGGTGGTGCACAGGGACCAAAGGGGACCTTCAGGACCACCTCTCTGGCTCCTGGGCTTGGGAGGCCTGGGGTCAGGGGTCCTAGGGAGGGGTGTTGGGGATGCAGCCTGTCTGGGAGACAGCACCGCCTCCCCATCTGGAAAAGGGGGTGCAGGCAGGGCAGGCGCTGGGGAGCCACACAGCAGGGGATGGACGGCTCAGCCCCAGGGGCAGGG